CGAAGTTTTTCAGTGATGGTCCACGATTCATGACCGTAGATAAGTATGGGGATAAAGATCGACTTGAATAACGGGAGCCTAGTTTCCACACTAAGCTCTGCTTTAGTCACAATGGGTCGGGCTAGTTCACGCAGAACGCCACTGACTACTCCAATTCGACGGTCGATCTCTTCCTCAAATTTTCCATCACCAGGTGACACCACTCCGACATACTTCTCTTTCTTCGTTATTCTGCAGAGAGCAACGGACAGGAGAACGAGAAAGCACTAAGCTCTTCGTTACAGATGCCTTCATGCCTTCTTCGGCTGCGAACCTTTCGTGAGAGCACTGTTGATCAGTTTCAGAAGATGACAACGAAACAAGGTCGTCGCGACGACAGCAACCTTCTCGTCTTATCTCCTGCACTGATACACTCATCGTCTTGGCTGCGCCCGGCTATTTTATCCATGTACAGCACAAACCATAGCGGAGACAGAGCCCAGCCTTGGTGGAGACCAGTGTCAATGCTGAAAGGATTCCAATTAATGCCATTTACTTTATCGCGGAATCTTCTATCAGATTGGATGACCCGTAGCAACTGGCCATCGATCCCATATGTTCGAAGGCACAATACTGTTGCGCGAGATCCGGTCACAGGCTTTCCCTAGGTCAAAAAGCACGTGCACCGGATGGGCGAACTCCCATGATTTCTCAACGGTCTGGCTCACGGCAAATATATGGTCAGAGATGCTTTGATCGGGTCGAAAGCCACAACGCTCTTGTATCTTAGAGTCATTTATTTTGCAGCACCTCCTTTCTAGCATCCAGACTTCACCTGGGAGGCTCAGTAGCGTAAATTGCCCTTGATTGGAGCATTCCTTGTGCTCTCTTTTCGAATACGAGTACAATAACTCCGGTTGTCCAGTCCGTTGCTGTCTTTCCTGCAGTCATCACAGTTTAACAGACACGTGTAAGCCAGCTCATGCCTTGTTCACCTGATGCCTTGAGCATGTCAGGGCAGTTTTCATCAATTCCAGCAGGCTTTCCACATTTCTAGCTTTTCACTGCTTGTGTAGTTCCATCTACAGAAATGGTAATATCCATTCGTTGCTGTTCTACAGGTTAATTTTTCTGTGGTTCCTCTGTGTTAAGGAGTTCTTCAAAGTACTCTCTCCATCAACGAAGAACATCCTTATCGTCGGTTAGAGGGTGTCCAGACTTATCCTTCATGACTATTAGACAACCCTTCTTTTCACCTCGTCCGCAGATGGCCTGCCAAAATACCTTGTTTGTCGTCTGGAAATTCGACTGCAACACCTCACCGAACTTGTCTCTCACTGCC